TTTGTTGAGTTTCATCAGTTCTCCATATATTTTTCTACAGACTCAATTTTTAAAGACTATTTTGTTAGTACAAATATGCCAATAATTCTGGTTTTAATTAGCCTAACAAAAAACTATGCCCTACAGAAATCCACAGCAATGGACAGTTCATCCACACAATTTAATGGCCCACCAGCAGCAGTAGGTTTCTTAAAAGCTAAAAAACGAGCCCACCATGGTATTTTTGTACCGAGTTGGCCACAGGAACTTGTTACTACTTCTGTAAGATTAACTAACAGTTTTCCTACACAAGAGTCCCAGGATCCTCAGTTTATCAGAAAACAGTGATTCTGAAAACATTTTGTATTTGCAGACTTTTCTGTGTTATCTTGAAAACACACACACAAAAAAAATAGCAGTGAAAACACTGCTTCCCAAACCTACTGGCAATTTAAACATCACTACAGCAGGTGATGGATGTTTTCAACCTATACCACTTGGACCTGGTTTCCTTTTATTTAGGTGGATGCTGACCTCATGAAATATGGGTGAAATACAAACCACTATTGCTAAAATCAATAGTTGCAGGTTATAGCTAAAAGTATAGGTTTTCACTTAAGTGGATTTGACAAGCTGTTTGACTTTTAGTACCCAGCACAACTCCTTTGCAGTAATTCTATTCTCAGAATGCAGGTCTTCTATGCCAAGTGGGCTGGATACCTGCCAGCATGACCTGAAAAAAGCACATACCTGAACTTCATCATCCTTCCGGATGGGCATGGACCGGACATTGTACTTCTGCCTCAGCTCTTTGGAAAGAGGGGAGGACATGATCTTCCTACGAATGTGGGAAGGTGCATTGAAATGCCTTTTACGATTCTTGCTCCGATCAGAAGTCACAAAGGGATTGAACTTCATTTTGGCTAAATGAGAAATTAACAGCAATAATTTCATTTTGACATTCCAGAAGATTCACAGAAACTGATGCTCTGTAACTCCACCCCAAAACTGCTTAAATGGAACAGCCTATCCAACTTGGAATTAAAAAAAAAAAAAAAAACTTGCATCACCAAGATAGTTACTGTGTTTGTGGAATAGAGAATTCTAAATTAATAACATACACTTCCTGTAGCTACTGAACTGTTTACACTCTTCAAACTCCTCAAGTATTATGAACAGGCCAGGACTTGTATCTGCGTGCAGAGCTGAGAGACAACTCAAATAGCTCACGTTTCAGAACGCTAACTTTGTGAGATGGTGAGTGCTAACATTTAGCCACATGCAGAATGAACCAGACCTCGAAACCAGAAAATACTGCACAGATAGGGTACCAAAACCTTCCCATGTACGAGAGTATCTAGATGTTCTCTGGTTTTACCAAAGCCGCTTCGAGAACATCTTTTAAACTACGTCGTTCAGACCTGTCTTCATTTCCACAGAATTTCTCCTTCCTCTCTCTTCCGATTCGAAGTTCCCAAGCCCATTTTCCTCCCCTCTTTCCCAGTACGGCGTCCCTCAGCTAGAGGGGAAAACAGATCGAGATCATCCTAGCTCCTGTCTTTCGGTGCCTTTAGGCTTCCTGGAGACTATCGGACCCCTCCGGGTCAGGCGCCGTCGTGCCTGCTAACGGATGGCTGCGGATTTTAAGCGCTTCCCCGGCAAATGCTCACCCGCTGGTGCTTCAGCGATGGCCGCAAAAGGGAAGAGACTCACACGTTACTTCCGGTTCGAGAAGTTTACGAGAGATCTCGCGAGACCCAATGCCTCGGAGCGAGAGAGGTGCCGAGTTTGAAGGCGGTTAGGAAACTGGGAAAGAAATTGATGACTAGTGTCATCTCGTGGCTAGGAGGGGAACTGCCAGGGAAGCTGCGAAGGGCCGTAAATCTCACCTCTCAGATTCCTGGTGTTTCTCCCTTGCGAGAACGGTTCTGCAGGGCTGTTGTCTGGGAAGGGTCGTAACTGGACGAGTGGCAGGGACTGCTCATGACCTGACGATCCCAGTGGGTAATGAGGGAGCGAGACGTCCAGGGGACCCTTGTTCCTTCACATCCTAGCTTCGCGCACCCAGTCCTAACTCTGGCCGCCAGGTGGCCCTGGGACTGCGGGCCGACAGGCATCTGGGAGACCTGGCTTCCACCTTACGGGTCCCTGGCGTGGGCGTGTGCAGTGCGCAGGTACTTCCAACTCCCGCCGGCCAGCTGCCTCCCACACAGCCTGGCGGGCGCTGATGGTGTTGTGGGGTCTGCCCCAGATGCGGCTTGGTCTGCGAGAGGCATTTTTAGAGAGTCGGATCACCCATCGGTCAGCCCCCCCACCCCGCGGAAGCACTTCTGGACCAGCGTTTCTAACGAGCTTCCCAGTGATACCAAAGCGTGTAGGTCCCAGGAGTCCGGCAGGAGGAGGCTGCCGAGAGCTGAACCTTTTTCTGAATTTCACTTCCTGCTGTCATTCAGTTCAAGGTCTTCGGCAGGGCAGGGTGATGCGCTCCCCTGCAAATGGGCTGAGACAGGCAAGGTGAACTCCCGCGGCGTGCCTGATCCGGCCTCTAGGGGATAGGTTTCTGCTGAATGAATAATACGGATGTCATGCTGGCAGAAGACGCATTTCATCATCATACAGCAGACAGGCTATGTAGTACCAGCTTGCTGCATGCTAGGGACACTTCTCACTTCGCTTTAGTAACTCCTTTAGTCCTCATGCTGCTGGTATTATTGTGTCCATTTTACAGAAGGAAACTGAACCACACAGAAGTGGGCGGAACTTGTGCAAGGGCGTATATGGAACCCAAGGGTTATAGATGAACATTTTGAAGGCTGGTTCCCTAGCCCTTTGGGTAACTTTGTATAAGCTCCCAGTTTGTAGGAACCTGAGGTCCAGTCAAAGAAAAACCTTGTCCTGAGGGGCAGACTATAATCAGTAAAGAACCCCTGTTGTGTTTTAGGCAATGGAATGCTATTCAATAATCAAAAAAAAGATAATTTTATGCTAATCACAGCAACATGGATGGAGCTAAGAGGATTATGCTCAGTGAAGTAAGTCAGAGGAGAAAAGAAAAATACTGGATGGCTTCACTTATAGGAGGAATATAGGGGAACTGAACAAAGGGTCAAAAAAAAAAAAACTTGCGGCAAACAGATCTGAGGCACAGCAGGGAGGGTGAGGTCAAAATGGGAGGGAAGAGCACAAGGGACTAAGGTGATGGTTCATGGGTGATATGGTGGTGGGATTTTTTTTTAAATAATAGTTTATTTTTACATCATTTTGTGCATTCATCTCGGTTGTAATCCGTGAGCTTCCCATCACCAAATCACCCATGTGCCATCACCGTAATCCAGTGCATTTCCTTCCCTCCCCAGTGGTGGGATTTTTAAGATTTATTATTTTTTTATTTATGCATACAAGAATTGGGGTATAGGCCAGAGGTGGGGCAGGGGGGAACCAGTAAGAGAATTTATTAGAGAGAGAGTGGGGAGGGAGGGAGGGAAGGAGGGAGGGAGGGAGGGCCCTCCCTAGGCACAATGGGTTAGGATGCAGCACTGCAAGCTGTCTGCAGCTATTTCATGTGAGTTTGATCCCCGTTCAGGAGGTGACCCACATGGCACGGCAGACCTCTCCTGACCTGCCTGCTGCTCCCTTCAGCAGTGTACTACCTTGATCTGCCTGTTCTGCGCCCCACTCTGTCTGGTGAGTCCTCTCATTGTCCCTGCACCTCTGGCATGTACCCCAGTTTTGTATGCATAAATAAATAGATCTTTTAAAAAAATGAATTTGGTTAAGAAAGAGAGAGAAAGACAGAGTGAGAAGCAGAACAAGCTGATTGACTGAAATACACTGCTGAGGGGAGCAGCAGGTGAGACAGGAGAGGTCTGCTGGGCCATGTGGGTCAGCTCCCTGGCTGGGGGGCTAACTCATGCCACAGGATGAAGGCTCTGAGACCTCAACCTGTGCACCACCAGGGAGGCATGTGGTGGGAGATTAATAGGGACTACACCTGAAGGGAGAAATAAAATATTGTACAAAAACAATAATTTAAGAAAATAAAAGTTTAATCAATAATTTTTTAAAAGTTGTGTTTTAACAGCTGTGAAGGAAATAGTCCCAAATTTTATTCACGACTCAAAATTTCAGTGAGAATTCCTCTGCTGTTCTTTTCAATGAATGTTTATGAATCACCTTTCCAGAGCAGCTCTGAACTGGAAGCTGGGATTACAAATTTAAATTAACCAAAATCAGCCTGTGGGAATTTCATTGTCTGAAGGGGAGAGATAAACAACTAAGTTAACCACAAGACCTTAGTTTACTCTAAACCTACTGCTGGGTACTTCTATGCTTCTGGAATATTAGAGGACTCTGAGGTCAGGGTAGATGAGTGAGGTCACTCCTGAGTGACTTTTGAAGAATGTTAAAATTAGCTCTGTGAGGCAATGGGAATAGCTTGAGGGAAGGTACGGAGGTGTGAAGCAGGGTGACACATTGTCCCCAGGACCCAGGTCTTTGTGGCTGGTGTAAGAGGGCTGTGGGGGCAAGTCTTATTTAGATGCTGAAAATCATAGGGACTCACTGGAGCCTCCTGCCTTCCTGCTGGTCTTCATAGCCTTGTCCCCTTCTCTTCATAGAGTCCTTACTGGTCTCCTTACCTCCCATCTTCTTCAGCCCTCCTCCACCACTCATCTTCCTCTCTTCCCATAAAAGCTGTCTCTGCTTTCTTAACCTTCCCGTCATTTTCTGTTTTATCTTCCTCCTTACCTCTCTTCCTCCCCTCAACATCCACTCATCAAAATGAAACCTTCAGCCCGCCACTTGAACAGCATAACCCCCTGTCTACCGTTTGAAGATTGCTGGGGCACAGATAGTACACACACATGCAAATTACTGGTAACCTAGTTCTGGAGTCTGTTTATAAGTATCTGTCTTGACAGTCTTACATTCCTCGTCCATGATTTGAAAAGGTTCTTTTAAACTGGTTCCTTCAGGTAATTTTGAAGAGGGCATTTGTGAAGCCCCAACACACATGAAAGCAAATATCCAGATTCCACACCCAAGTGCCTTGGATTGAACTCTTTTTCTAGACACCAAACCATCCTTTTTATTTGTTCATTTCTGCATGCGTGGCTCAAACATGTACTCTTTATTAAATACTTACCAACTCTTACTCTACTAAATTCATCAAGGTGCCAATTAGTAAGATCTAACTTCTTCTCAAGAAGCGTGGTCTTAAAAAAAAGAAAGAAGTTTGCTATTTTGAAGGGGATGGATTTGTCAACAAACGTGCATAATATTTGTGTCCCCAGAGGGTGCAGTCCATTCTATCTGAGGTAGAGGGCTGGCATATCTCATGGCTAGCCTTTGAACTGTGTTTTTTGGGAAATGAGGTAGAGTTTTCCAGGTAGGAAAGGGGGAAAGTATAATCCAGAAGGAGGCGACCCCCATGCAAAGGGTCAGAGGCCTGCACCCACCTGTGCTCTTTGTTGGAATTGCAAATACTTGTGTTGAGAATTAGTTGTGGTGTGTGTTTGTATTAGCTAAGATCAGGATGAAGGAAAGAGAATCGCAAGACTCAAGATTGTTTATTTTGTGCCAAAAGTGGAAATCAAAGGGAGCAGTAAAGAGAGCAGCAGGCCCACTACCTTCCGGCTTCACTGAGGGAGAGGTGATAGGACACATCTGAGGGGTGCAGAGGTCTCTAATGTGTACACTGGGGTTGCTGGGAACCCTGGCTCAGGGCTCTCTGGGCTCCTTAAACTTGTTGCGTAGGCCTAGACTATGCAAGGCTCTATTGTGATGGGAGGTGGCAGGCAAAGTGTGTGTGTGTGTGTGTGTGTGTGGGTGGGAGGGGGGGTGGGTGTGGGTGTAGGGGAAGAAAAGAGCAGCAGTTTTTGCTTAAACTTTGGCATTTATCTATCATCTAATTAATGTTTTCTTTCTGTAGTGCCCTGACCTCAGGATGGTTGCTTGAAACAGAAGATTTTATTTGAGAAAGGAAAAAAAGGGTAGGGACGAATCAAAACAAGCACATTAAATAATACAGTCCAAAGAAATCCACAGAGTCTGTGAAACATTGAGAATATTAAACTTTTTACCTTTCTTCATGAGATAACCTGTTAAACATAAGCTGTCAACCTCTAACAAGACAAACCTGCCCATGAACCCCACTGACACCCCAACCATAGGTCAAGTGGTCTTGCAGCTCCTGAGTGTTCTTTGGGTTGATTCCTCATCTGTATGTCCACAGGTCTTCAGCTTCTACTGAAGTTTTCATTTTCTAATAAATAGTATGCTTACATGCTTCAGAAATCCGAAAGTATGAACGGGAAAGGGAAGATCTCCCCTCCCATTCTATCCTTTTCTCATCCCCTTCCAGGTAATTCCTGTTAATAGCTTTTATGGTCTATCTTCCCAAATTCTTTACGCAGAAGTAAATAAGCAAATAGGAATGCAAATCATTATAGCCCTCCCTTTGCCCCCCCCCCCCACTTCAACATGGCTGGCTACACAACCATAGCTGACATCCTGGCTTTCTCCCGTCAATCTTTGTACTGTGAAGACTTTCAGTATCCGTCATAGACTTCCTTTTACACCTTCAGGAGAGTCCCTTGACCTTAAATTATAGAGCCAGCCCGCTGTTGGCTGGCGTGGAGGGTATT